GAACCGTTCTCTGAAGAGCGGTCCTTACGGAAATCCTCAAGGGGACCTGAACCTGGAGACATTCAACTGCAAACACCAGGATACCAGCTGCATCTTGATGTCGGGAGGTTGCACCTTCCAGGTTTGAGACAATGGCTCACTTTCAAGAATGGAGGCCTGTCTGTTTTTCTATTCTTTACCCTTCTTACCCTTAGGCATATCATATCTCATGGCTATGGTAACTTCAAGCAAGCATTACATCATCACATAACTGTATTCAAGCCAGGATGAGAGTTAGGCTTCCTTACTGTCTGCCCAGACGTCTGCTTTTTCCCAAAAACTCCCCCATGCACTCCCTCTTCTCTTACTGGTCACATGCCTACCCTTAAACCTGTTGCCATCCAAGGGGAAGGGATCTCATGCTTGGCTTTGGCCAGTCTTACTTCAGGTCCTGGCAACTGGGGGAGAAGTCCATCTTCCTTAACAAATTGCGGAAGCAAAATCAGACTTCCATAAATTAAGGAGATTATGGTTGCTGTAGGAAATACAGCAAGTAATGTCTGTCTAAGACCAACTTGGCAGTATGTGTCCAAAGGCCCTGTTCTATTTTAATGTCTATATTAGGGAAGCATTAATCTCAAGTGCAGGGTATCTCAAATTCTGTGTGGTGAGGAATCAGCTTTAATGGTTTCAGTTCACAGACTGATATTAGGAAAGGGAAATTAAAAAAAAAAAAAAACACTACAAGAGCCCCACATTTTTTTTTTTTATTAAACTCAAAAGTCACAGGTTTCTCTTGTCAAATTGCTATAAAAATGTCTAAATACTATTCATTTCTGTTCCCATCTCATCATTGACCAGTAACAGTTTGCAGTCATGACCCTCGTTGGCAGAGCACTATGCTGACTTCATACTCTGGCCCTGCTTGCCTCTCCTGCCTGCCTTTGATTCACCTACAGCAAGCTGTTCTCTGTTACCAGAATATGCCTTGTGTTTTCGTTTTACTTCTGGACTTCACATTCTGTTCTTCCTTCCTGGAATGCCTTACCCCAGCTGGGGAGCACCTAGTCATCTTTTTAGTCCAGCTTAAATGTCAACTTCCTTTCCATCTTTGCTCCCTTGTCAGTGCTTCCTTTGAGTCCCGAGTGTACTCATTTTATTGGATTGCTGTTATTCCTAGGTCAGCTGCCCTCACCAGAACAGAAGTTCCCTGAAGGTGATAATTGTCTTGCTCATATTTATATCCCCTGTTCTTGGAGCACATCCTTTTCCCTAAATAAATGTTTATTGAATTGAGTCCACTCAACAAATAATGTCTCTCTCTTGTTATTCTCCCCCAAATATTTTCTACTGTGCTTCTGCCTGCATGTTTATGTATTTCCTTATAAGAACACACCATTGTGACACAAATTCTTCTTTTTGTCTTCCATCAAGTCTGGGTTTAAAAACAAGATACAGCTTTCCATTGTATATTCCCATCATGGGTCCTTTGCATCAATGGCACTGTCCCCGAAAGCAATGTGTGGGTTTCTGAACCCACAGTGTACTCCAGCAGCATAGCATGTTCCTGTAGCAATACATGTCAATTCCCAAAAGCACCTAGCAAGGTGGTACAGCACAGAGAACATACAGTTTAGAGTCACAGTCCTTGTTCATATACTAGCTCTGTGGCCTTGGGCAAGTTCCTTAGCTTCTCTGAGCCCGTTTCTTTCACTTAAAAAAAAAAAAAAAAAAGTATGCGGTGACATGAGGAAACAATAGTGGCTTGGTAAATGTTAATCCCCTCTGCTCAGATGGGCACATGTGTGGATTGACAGGAACGCAGGCTGAGAACAGTAGCCAATGGGTTTGCCTGTCTCTTTAACGTGTCGGGGCCAGCCTACAGTTCAGGCTTGCTGAGAAAAACGACCGGCTTTGAAATTCTATCTTTGGCAGGGTGTCCTTGGTCACTTCTCTGTTCCTATGCTTCTGATTTCCTTACTCGCAGCTGGCAGGGACCACTGCATTGGCAGCTCCAGGGGTGCATGACTAAGTGGAGGGGGCAGCAGCTGCTGCCTGTCAGGAGGTGGGTGGTTGGGTTGGGAGGCAGGCAAACAAGCGGCATGTGGAAATTCCCCCAACTCCACCACTCGAATGACATCACGATCTAAACCATTGCTGCGAGAGGGGCTCCAGGGCAGGCCTTTCCTTCTCCAGGCATTCTACCTCTTCTTCTACCACTGATTCTCCTGTTTAGAAAGGAGTATTGGAATATGATGCACATTTGTTGATTTAATTAAATAAGAAAAAATCGATGTCCTTCAACATGCCATGCATTTCCACACTTCTGTGCCTCACTTTAGCTGTTCTCATCTCTAGAAACACTTCTACCTCTACCTCCGTGAATAATTCAACCCTTACACCTGGAATCAATTGTTAGTTCTTATATCTTCCTTCCTGGATGCCACCCTTTCCTCTAGACTGCTATTTCTTTTTACATTTACCTCTGTTGTTGTGCATTACACATTGAATTACCCTTGTTGTTGTTTTCCCCCGATTACAGTTGACATTCAATATTATTCTGTATTAGTTTCAGGTGTACGCATAGTGGTTAAACTATTGTTCTTTACAGAGAAGTCCCCTCAATATTTCCAGTACCCATCTGGCACCATACAGTTATAATACTAGAGGCCTGGCACACGAAATTTGTGCATTTGGTTGTGGGGGGCCTTTCAGCCCAACCTGTGCCCTCTCGCATCTGGGAGCCCTCAGGGGATGTCTGACTGATGGCTTAGGCATGCTCCCTGCAGTTGGACATCTTAGCACTGCTGTGGAGGTGGGAGAGGCTCCTGCCACCACTTCTGCATTCACCAGCCATGAGCCCCGCTTCTGGCCCCTGGTGATTAGTGCGTGTCATAGCAGCCGGTCGTTGTGCTGTTTGGTCGATTTGCATGTTAGCCTTTTATTACATAGGATTATTGACTATATTCCCTGTGCTGTCCTTTACATCCCCATGACTATTTTGTAACTACCAATTTGTACTTCTCAATCCCTTCTCCTTTTTCATCCAGCCCCCACCCCCTTTCCCTCAGGCAACCATCAATCTGTTCTCTGTATCAATGAATCTGTTTCTATTTTGTTTGTTTGTTTAGTTTGTTCTTAGATTCCACATATAAGTGAAATCATATGGTATTTGTCTTGCCCTATCTGACTTATTTAACAGCATAATACTCTCTTAAGTCTATCCATGCTGTCGCAAATGGTTAAGATTTTATTCTTTCTTATGGCCAAGTAACATTTCATTATATATATATCACAGTTTGTTTGTTTTTTTTATTCACTTCTCTATTGATGGAATCACCCTTCCTTTCGAGGTATCTTTCCCTTGATAAAGTGACAGCTCTTGAGAATCTTAGATGCTCTACGTGCTTGGCTCATAGTAAGTACTCATGTTGAGTTGAAAACCTCTACTCCTCAGCATATTTTCCAATTTCTAATTCCTCACTAATCATTGCTAGGTTATTCACAGTATAATAAAAGTCCATGTGGATTGAGCACTTGAATAGTTATGGAAGATACTGGGTCCCCCCAGTCCCCAACCCATACCTCAGAGGCAATAGGGTTAATGGAGGTAAAGGTTAACCAGAAGCAAGGGGAGGGGGAAATCAAGGAGTCATTTTGGAAGCCAGAAGGACATTTCATAGTATAATGTTTTAATGTTCCAGATTTATTTCTTGCTGACTCAAAGTAGACCCCAGGTTGATTCAGAAGTTCCTTGGGCATTATCAGACTTCTTAGGGTGAGTGTGGGGTTGGGAGTCGTGGATCTAGTCCTACATTTTCATTTACTGTGCAAACTACGTGGGACACAGCAGTAAGTCTGGTAGACTTGGGTTCAAATCCTGATTCTGCCACTTACATGCTACTTGTGGGAACTTGTTACCTTTCTGAGCCTCAGTTTCTCTCCGAGCTAGAAGGAGGAGAATATTTTTCGGGTTGTTGTAATGCCAAAATAACATTTGTGTAAAGTACCTAATCTAGGTCTGGCATGCCACAGGTATTTAACAGGTGATAGTTATTATCTTTGCAAATGCTAAGGTGGATAGGGTGAGGGTTCAAGCAGGTACCACCATTGCATTAACTGTAAGATGTACAAGGGGAAAGTTGCCATAGAACTCAACATGTCAAATAAATGCCTAGTGATATTTATAATGTGACTTAATAAAGGCCTCAATAAAGGGGTTTTCCAGTTCTCACGGTTAGGATTTTTTCTGGTAATAGTACCATACTTTCCTACGTTGATGCGTCCTCCTGCCTCAGGAGAGCCTCTGCTTCTCGGCACAGGGAGCCCTGGACAGTGTCCGCCCGCCCGAGTTGTGGTGGTGGATTCTGTGCTCCCTTTTCCTTTGCTCCCCTGCCTGCCTCTTGCCCTGAGATCTTATCTTGTCCTCTGGGGAGGTATGTTAAGTGCTCTGCCAGCCTGCCTGTGTGCCTGGCCTGTCTTTTCTCACTGGCAGGACCTCTTGTGTTGCAATTCCAAACATGGTATCCATCTGGGGTCACCCTTTCTTCCGGTGCCAAGAGAGACACATTCCAAATGGAACACAAGTGCGCCTCCTGTGCTGGCGGCTCCTCACTCTGTTTGGGGAAAACAGAGAGCCGGCCGGCTGAGGCCCCTTGATCATCGCTCCCTGCGGAAGTGTTCAGGCCAAGAGTCCTGTCCTTTGCTCAGGACAATTTAGGTTTCCTGCTAAGAGCCAAATGTGAAGACCGGCCTGAGGAATCTGGAGCCAAGGAAACTGGCCAGAGCTCTGCCCCAGGGCCAGCGCCTGGCTGAGGGAGAGGATAAAAAGGTTCAAACTTCCCCGTGAAGGGTGCTATGTCCTGCCATTCATTCCCAACGCTGCCAGAAGCATTGCTCCTAGGACAAGTGGCGTTGGTGGTGAGAAGCCAGAAGTGAGAAGACACTCAGGAGGACAGACTGCCCCGTTTTCCTATGTGGGAGCGTCCTAGAGCCCCACGAGACTTGGGGACGCCCCGGAGATGAGCGCCGACAGCAGCGCGCTGGACCAGCGCCTCTGGCAGGGGCCGGTGTGCGCGGGCTGGAAGCAGGATGTGGAAGGGGCCCTCTACCACCTGGCCAACTGCGTCTTGCTCCTGGGCTTCATGGGAGGCAGCGGGGTGTACGGATGCTTCTATCTCTTCGGCTTCCTGGGCACCGGCTACGTGTGCTGCGTGCTGTGGGGCTGGTTCAATGCCTGCGGCCTGGACATTGTCATCTGGAACTTCCTGCTGGCAACGGCCTGCCTGCTCCAGCTGGCACACCTGGTCTACCGCCTGCGCAAGGACACCCTCCCCGAGGAGTTCCACCTCCTCTACAGGACGCTGTGCGTGCCCCTGCAGGTGCCCATGCAGGCGTACAAGGAGATCGTTCGCTGCTGCGAGGAGCAGGTGCTGACTCTGGCCACCGAACAGACCTATGCCGTGGAGGGCGAGACGCCCATCGACCGCCTGTCCCTGCTGCTCTCTGGCCGGTAAGCTGCTCTGTCCCTGCCCACGCTTCTCGTTTCCCAATAAGTCCCTTCCCACTTCGCGTCCCCTTCCATGAAGGGAAGGATGTGGCACGTCAGACACACCAAAATAGATTTTTCTAAGCGTGGGTTTGCTTCCTCTTTCTTAGCATTTTCCCAGAGAAAGCTAGATCATGAGGTATCTTCTTGGTTGGCAGGGAAGATAGTGTGTGTGCCTGCTATTGGGAGGTGTTGGGTCAGTGCTTCCTGAGCCTGGGTCTGAAATGATCACACACACACACACATACACACACACACACACACACACACACACACAAGTGTGTTATGCCTAAGCTGCAGCAATAGCTCTGTAAGTTTTGGAAAACTGAACGTTTCAATAAGATTAATTTCTTCTTCCCATGTCCATTCAACATTTGCCAAGTGCCAACTATGTGCAGGGACCAGTGCCCAGGCAGAGGGGTTTTCCTATAGCCCCTGTTCCCTGCCAGGGCATCAAAGATATTGGGGATACCCTGAACAGACTCTGGAAAAGCCATTCCATACACACCCAGGTATGGAGAGGGGGTGCCCCTTGCCCACTTATTTCATTCCCAGTAGTTCTAGTGAGTTCCTTACAGGCCAGGAAGCTGACTTGTAAATGTGAGGACCAGACAGTGGGGAGAGAGTCGGATGCCCACACTGGCCTCATTGAGGATTTGGTGGAGACACTGGCTGACTCCGTTTAAGAAGGCTGACAATCAGCCATGAGCAGAAATGGTCTTAGTTAGGATCAGGGTGTGCCCAATCAGCTGCATGGAGCGCTGGCCATTGGCCAGTGGCTTCTGAACAAATATACGGGGTCTGTGCTGTCCTTCTGGTAAGCAGTTGTGGAGTCTTTGAAATATTGCCTTCGTGGGACTTGGTGTGGGGCTGAGCAGCAAACCTGGTGCTCCGGGGCTGGCCCTGGCTCTGTGGAAAGCCACCAAAGTATTTAAAAAGGCTTTGTCTTCATATTCCTCCCCAGCTTCCTTGAGACCAAGAGAATGTGGTAGAAAAGATAATAGTCAGAAGGCTCTATCCCAAGGGAAGGAGGGGAATGAAACCAGATAAGACTGCCAATCACACAGTGGAAAAATAGAGTTTGATGATGATGGTACTACAACTACTAGTAGCAATAATATTTATTATTGTTTAGAATTAAAAGTGATATGTGTATATAAATGTATATATGTCATATATATATTTTTGTTTGGACTCAGGCAAATTTATATATATTAATATATTAAGGTTGAAAGAATTTTGTGGGGAGAAATTTTATTAGGAGTGAACTAAAGTATAAACAAATGCGATTATTTGTAAACAAATACATGCTTAAATATGAATACATTACGACTGTTGCCAAAATGTTTGTCACCTACAGTTTCATGCGTAAAATAAAGACAATTTTTTAGGAAATGTGCTCATTCATTAGATCCATGTTATTTGCTTGTTACTCGTAGCTCCTCTCTGTTCAAAGGAGAAATTGAGACTGTCTAGCCCACTCCCCTGTATGGTGCTCCCTTATGTAAACATGCTGTGATTATTGTACGGTTCAAGGATTTTTACTCTGATGGAGGGACCATGAGCTTGTATAAGACCACTTCCCTGTGAAGGGGTGAGAAGGGCTTGCTCCTCAGCATGGCTTTTCCTAGTTTACTTAGCATCAAAAAACCCAAGTCAGAAATGAGAGCATTCTGATTTTTATTTCTTGCTTTTCAAGGTTTGGAGTAAGAGTTTTGTATTGTTATCTTTCCACATCGCCCCATCTCGGTTTCGCTAAGTTGGAGCTGGGGGAGGAGGCTTCTAGCCTAAGAGCAGGTTCAGGTTCTCAGAGAGAATCCCGGCCCCTTGCCTGGTCATGGTGAGGCACCAACAGTTCCAAGCAGCAGGCAAAAAACTCCGTGCTTCTTGTGCTGCTCTCCCTACCCACAGACACACTCTCATCTGGAAATAATTGCCAAAACCTCAGACATCCTTTTTGTTTTATTTTAATAAAGGCGATGAGTCCCTTTCATGACTCAGCAAGTGACTTTGTCAAAGTGCATCACCCTGTAAAGCTGTGGGAGAGTCTCTCTTGTGTAATATTCAGAGCACACGTCGCAACATGCACAGCCTTCTGAGCAGGCAACCAACTGTCTAAGCTATTCGCATAGGAGGACATTATCTGTCCATCCGGGACATCAAATGATAGAGGATACCGTAGCCCTAGCCGGCTTTGCTCATTGGTTAGAGTGTTGGCCCATGGACTGGAGGGTTGCGGGTTCGATTCCAGTCAAGGGCAAGTACCTCAGTTGCAAGCTCCATCCCTGGCCTTAATAGGGGCCCTTTAGAAGGCAACCAATCAATGTGTCTCTCTCACATAGATGTTTCTCTCTGTGTGTCTCTCCCTCTCCTTTCCACTCTCTCTAAAAATCAATGTGGGGGGGGGTAAAGAGTATCCTTGGGTGAGGATTAACAGATTAAAAAGGGATACAGTATACCAATTTCAATAGCTTCTTGGAGTCATGCAGGTTCATGAGACGCTACTCTCAGTCTAAAGTGGCGCTCCCTGGTGGTCTGCATGTGTGGCGAGGCTCCTTGCTTCAGGAGATGGTGGGAGGACCTGATGTAGGCTTCGGGAGCCTCCTTCTCTCCTGTGTCTTTCTTCCTTTATTTGAGAAGCTTTTCTTTGAGATTTTGATTCCCTTTTGTGGTGACACAAGTGAGTTCATTTGTTTCATCACTTCTTCTTCCCTCCCTCTATTTCATATTTCCAAAATCCTCGCCTTCCCTCCCCCCCAAAAAAAAAAAGATTTAAGAGTGCTAGGACCTAGGCATCCAGTGTTAAAATGTGAAAAATGTTGTCCTTGTGCTCATGGAGCTCACAGTCTATCAAGAAAGTCAATAATTAATATTCAACATAATAGTGAATCATATATATAAAATGTCCAAGGAGAAATGCAAAATGCAATCAGAGCATGTAAGTGGAAGGTCTAACTTTCCTGGGGAAGTCCAGCAAGCCTTCCTGGAAGAAGGAGTGGTTAAGCTGAGACCTGAGAGGAAGGTGGGAATTAGAAAGAAGTTCATCTCTAGAGGGAAATGAACACCTGAAGACATATTCTATTCCAATAGCACAACATGGACTGGCACCCAGTTATTTATATGCCTGTGATTTCCACTAAATCGTGAAATCGTTAGAGGGAGGAACAGATCGCACCCACCTCTGCATTTCCAGAAGTGTGTTTCGTCAATAAAGCTCCAGAAATGATGGAACAATAGCTTCTTCCAAGTTGACAGGTTGTACCTTAGATATCTTTGATTCTGGTTTTTGGAATTTTTTTGGTAAGGGTTTTTGTTTGTTTAACACATCTGAAAAGAATGCATATACAAAGAACTGAGACATGAGAAAGCATTGGTTCAACACTAATGAATCTACAAGAATGAGGATTTGGGAAAGGTGGAGATTACCTAAACATTTTTAAATGTTGGAAACTGCAACCAAAAGAAATTGATAAAATTTCTCTTAACATTTATTCAGTGTTAAGACACTCACCATGGTTTTTTAGAGTCTCAATTTAGAGTCTCAATTGGGTTCCTCATGCAAAACAGAAATAAGGGATTCCCCTAGTTGGTCCCCATGTTCCCCACTCTACTCACCCTAGCTTCCTAATGAAGCAGGTCTCCATCCTCATAACTTGTAAGAGGATGTGAATTACCCTGGCCAGGTGACTCATTTAGTTGAAGCAATGTCCTCAACAAAAGGTTGTGGGTTTGATTCCTGGTCAAGACACATACCTAGGTTGTGGGTTCAATCCTTGGCCAGGGCTTGTACTGGAGACAACTGATTAATGTTTCTCTTTCACATCTATTTTTCTCTTTCTCTCCCCACCCCTTTTCTCTCTCTCTCTCTCTCTCTCTCTCTCTCTCTCTCTCTCTCTCTCTCTCTCTCTCTCTCTCTCTTTTTCTTCCTCTCTCTCTCTCTCTCTCTCTCTCTCTCTCTCTCTCTTTCTCTCTCTTTCTCTCTCTCTCATTAATAAACATATCCTCAGGTAAAGATAAAACATTTTTAAAGAGAGAGAGGATGTGAATCATTCCACAGACATCTCTCTCCTAGCACCACCCCTCATATATACTAGGTCTTCAGATGTGTTTAGGATCATTATATCATACACTATTTAGCTACACATCTATGCAAGGCAACCTAATAAGATAATGGCTGCCCTAACTGGTTTGGCTCAGTGGATAGAGCGTCGGCCTACGGACTCAAGGGTCCCAAGTTTGATGCCGGTCAAGGGCATGTACCTTGGTTTCGGACACGTACCCTGGTTTCAGACACATACCCATTAGGGAGTGTGCAGGAGGCAGCCGATCAATGTTTCTCTCTCATTGATGTTTCTAACTCTCTATCCCTCTCTGTAAAAAATCAATAAAATACATTTTTAAAATCAATATATTGATTTTAAAAATCAATAAAATATATATATTTTAAAATTTTATATATATTATGCATTCCCACCAATAATGTCCTGGGGTTCCCTTCTCTCCACATCTTCTCCACCATTTGTTTGTTGATTTATTGATGGATTTATTGATGACAATGACTGGTGGGGGGAGATGTTTTTTACATACTCAGTCCACTTGGTGTATTTCAAAAGGTGCAATACTTTTCATTTATCAGCAAAAGAAGTTTAGAAATTAACTTTTAAAAATCATCAAATGGCTAACAAATTTCCTTGAAAGTCACAGTCACATATATAGTGCATTCTGGGAAAGAGACAGGGCAAGACAGGCTCCACCCACTTGTGAGTTTCCTCAAATACTGGGCCTGCTCAAGGGTGGAGAGAAAGGCGACTTTCCAGGAGCGTGTTACTCAGTGAGGCATTTGCTATACTCCCTCTTAAGAGCACCAAGTGGGGAACACGTTTTCTAAACTGGACATAGGAAGTGGAATAGAGTCACTCCATGCTCCCCCCCTTAAGGACTGTCCAAAGGATACTGAAGTTTTAAAAATGACCAAATAAAACAACTCCACCCCCAAAAAGAAAAACAAAACAAAACTGCCAGATTACTCTCCAGAGTGGAACCAGGGAGCAGCTTCAACAACCCAACGTGGTCTGTTCCGCATCATCACAGGCGTGCCTTGCTTTTAAACAATAAAACTGTTTTTGAAACAAGACGCCGAAACCGGTTTGGCTCAGTGGATAGAGCATCGGGCTTCGGACTGAAAATTCCCAGGTTTGATTCCAGTCAAGGGCATGTACCTTGGTTGTGGGCACATCCCCAGTAGGGAGTGTGCAAGAGGCAGCTGATTAATGATGCTCTCCCATTGATATTTCTAACTCTCTATTCCTCTCTCTTCATCTCTGTAAAAAATCAATAAAATATATTTTTTTAAAAGCAACAAACAAAAATTAGCACTGACCTCTTTTCTGACAATGCACAATTACTCAAAATTAACTAGTACTGAGTGGGGCAAGGACCAGGCTATGGGCCTTGTCTCACATGAGGGCACATGGGTGGGTGCAGGGCATTTGTCATTATTGCAGAAATGAGCTTTCTATGTGTTAATTCTTGGTTTGATTTAAACATTTATTTTTTTATTTTTATTATTATTTTTTTAATCAATCTTTATTGTTCATATTATTACAAAGGTTCCTCATTTCTTCCCCCCTCCACCAGGTTCCCACCTCACCCTCTGACCCCTCCCCATCCCCCATTGCCCTCATCCATAGGTGCAGTTTATATTCAGTCTCTTCTTCCCTTCCTTTCCCCAATAGTAAATCCCTTTTCAGATAGTAAATCAGTTACTTAGCATTTTCTCAAATCAATAATACCTCCACATGCCCAATGATACACTTCACACAAAAGACATTTCCCAGTAGGTCCACCAGCCTCATCCAGGCCCCACCCAAGGCACTCACAGATCAACACCCCAGCCCTATACTAACTTAACACATCCAGACCTAAGCCTTCATCACTTGATTCAGCAGACCCTCAAGTTCCCACGAGTTTCCAGCCATGTCTGAGAAGCAGCCGTGGGGCAGGGGCAGGTGAGGAGCGAGCTGTTCCAGGCCTGGCTGCTCAGGGCCTGGCCTCTGTTGCTTTGGTTCGTTCCACAACCAGCTGCTCCGGGTCTGGTCACTGCCGCTCCCAACCTAGTTGCTCTGGACTTGGCTGCTGCTGCTCCGGGCCTGGCCGCTCCCAGCCTGGCAGCTGCTGCTCCGGGCCTGGCCGCACCCGACCCGCCCGCTCCCCCGGGCCTGGCCGCTCCCAGCCTGGCAGCCGCTGCTCCGGGCCTGGCCGCACCCGACCCGCCCGCTCCCCCGGGGCCTGGCCGCTCCCAGCCTGGCAGCCGCTGCTCCGGGCCTGGCCGCACCCGACCCGGCTGCTCCGGGCCTGGCCGCTCCCAGCCTGGCAGCCGCTGCTCCAGGCCTGGCCGCACCCGACCCGGCTGCTCCAGGCCTGGCTGCTCCCAGTCTGGCAGCCGCTGCTCCGGGCCTGGCCGCACCCGACCCAGCTGCTCTGGGCCCGGCTGCCCCAGGCCCGGCCACTTCTAGCCTGGGCACTCCCAGCCTGGATGCTCTGAGCTTGGCTACTGCTGTTCTGGGTCTGGCTGCTCCCACCCCGGCTGCTCTGGGCCTGGCTTCTCCGGGCCCGGCCACTCCGGGTCTGGTTGTTCCTGGACTGGCCACCCTGGGCTTGGCCGCCTCCGCCTCAGGCCTGGCTGTCACTGCCCCAGGTCTGGCTGCTCCAGTGCTGGCTGTTGATGCTCTGGTTCTGGCTGCTGCTGCTCTGGGGCCTGGCCGTTGCTGCTCCAGGCCTGGCTGCCACTGCCTTGTGCCTGGCCACTCTAGGCCTGGCCGCCGCTGTTCCAACATTCTGTCCCCTTTTTTTTTTTTTTTCCTAAAAAACGCATTTATGTTGCAATGTTGGCTGTTGAGTTGAGTTCTGACTTAGTCTTTGATTTTTCAAGAACTTCTTTGTATTCTTTCTTAAGTAATTTTACTATCTTTTGCTCTCACTTGATTTCTTCACATTGAGAACTTCTTTGGTTTCTTCCTCCTTGTCCTGGGAGCTCAGCTAGTTGGCCTGTGGCACCCCTTTGTTCTCCGCAGGCTCCTGCGCTGCTTCAGCCTGTTGCCGGGGACGGCGCCGCCCAGGAAGCAGCCCCCCTGGCCTTGGCTCCATTGCCCGCGCTCAGCGGTGGAAGGCTCAGGGGCACTCCCCCCCAGGGGCCCCGTCTCCGGGCTCCTTGCTGGTGCCTGGTTGGACTGCATCCGGCAGGGGCTCCTGCTTCCCGCCACGTTCCCCCAGCCTGGAGTTTTTTTTCTCTTTCCCCGCTAGGGGAGTCCAGCATCAGAGTCAACAGACTGTCCTCTGCGCGCAGTGTGCGCGCGACTCTGGGGGCCCGGCCTTTCGCCGCTCTCCCCGGACTCCACCTCACAGCCCCGTCTCCCTCTGCCTGAGTCTGGGTCCCCAGGGATTGGCCCAGAACTGGGGTTCGGAGCAGTCTGGACTGAGACCCAGCGCCGCCAGAGGCCTTGTTTCTTCCGGCTAGGGTAACCCAGCATCAGAGTCAACATTCAGTCCTCTGCGCGCGCATTGCGCGCGACTCCGGGAGCCCTGCTTTTCGCCGCTTTTCCGCCTCACAGCCCCGTCTCCTCCTGCCCGAGCCTGCGTCCCCAGGGTCTGGCCCATAACTGGGGCTCAGCGCTGCCGGTTCGGGGGGCTCAGTGCTGCCGGTTCGGGGGTCCAGCCCAGGCTGGGGGTTTTATTTCCTTCCTGCTAGGAAGGGAAAGGCAGCACCTCGCCCTCTCCTCCTCTCTGGCTGCGACCTTTCCATGCGCGCGCGTGGGCTGGCGCGCAGCATGTCTCCGTACCTTAGGCTTTTTTTTTTTTTCAGCTCCTCTGATTTTCTTTCTGGTTTTCTCTTTCCTTCTTGTTGTAGAAATTTCAGTCAGTCGACTACCTGTAGCTGTGGGCAATGTCCTCTCTACATCTTAGTTGTATTCCATTGAAATTGTTGTGTGCTGCCGCGGCTAGATGCCTACCCAAGCAGCCATCTTGGATCTCTCTCCTTGACATATCTAAACATTTATTTTTAGTGTGATACTAATAGCAGCTGTGCAGAAAGGGTGTTGGAGAGATGTTTATAGTAGCACAAACTTCAGTTCTGGAGGCTCTAGGCATTCCACATACGTGATGGCCTTTGGGTCACCAGCCAGCTTTTTGGCAGTCTCTGGAGTGTTAGGCTTTTAAAGAAAATGTTGACAATATTACAGATGTCTCCCATTTTCTCCCCTTTTGCCCCTCTCCACTCAACCCTTGCCCCACCACAAACCTTCCCATACTGTTTGTTGTCTGTGTCCATGGGTAGTGCATGGATGCATATTTATGTTCTTTGGTTAATCTCTTCCTGTCCTCCCACCCCATCCCCACTGAGGTCTGTTATTATGTTCTATGCACACATGCCTCTAGACATATTTTGTTTGTCAATTTATTTTTGTTCATGAGATTTCACATATAAGTGAGCTCATGTGATACTTATCTTTCTCTAACTGGCTTGTTTCACTTAACACAACAGTCTCCAGATCCATGCTGTCTCAAAGGGTAAGAGCTCTTTTCTTTTTCTTTCCTTTTTTTAATTTTTATTGATTTTATTGATTTTTTTACAGGGAGAAAGAGAGAGGGATAGAGAGTTAGAACAGCGATGAGAGAGAATCATCAATCAGCTGCCTCTTGCACATCCCCTACTGGGGATGTGCCCGCAACCAAGGTACATGCCCTTGACTGGAATCGAACCCGGGACCTTTCAGTCCGCAGGCTGATGCTCTATCCACTGAGCCAAACCGGTTTCGGCAAGAGCTCTTTTCTTACAGCCTCATAGTATTCCACGGTGTAGAGGTACCACAGCTTTTTTGTCCACTTGTCTACTGATGGGCACTTGGGCTATTTCCAAATCTTAGCTATTGTAAATTTGCTGCTATGAGCACAGGGTGCATATATTCTTACTGATTGGTCTCTCAGGATTCTTAGGATAGATTCCTGGAAGTGGGATTGCCGGGTCAAAAGGCAGTTCCACTTTTAAATTTTTGAGGAACCTCCATACTGTTTTCTACAGTGGCTGCACCCATCTGCATTCCCTTCTCTCCACATCTTCTCCACCATTTGTTTGTTGATTTATTGATGGCAGCCATCCTGGCAGGTGTCTGTTTGTCCTTGGGAAATGGCAAGTTTCTCAATAGCAGAGGGGTCATCTCTGAGATCTGTTTGGCTCTCGGCAGCAAGAAAGGAGTCTTTGGACAATGGTGAGTTATCTCAGGCACCCCCTGTCTTTTCCATTTTCAAATGAGGATGGAGAGACCGTTGAAAAACTAATGTTTCTAATCTGAAACACATCTGTTTGTGGATAACTCCACGGTTGTAAACTGTCATAATCCTCTTGCCCTGCGGTATCAAAAAGTCCAAGAGTATATGACTCTCCATCCATCTTAACTATGACTGCATAGTTGTCAGAGCAGTCGGTAGACACTCAAATGGAAACTTGTTGGGCAGGTCATCAGGAGACGTGTTTTACCAATGGCACTCTTGTCCACAATATTGCACTTAATCATCTGCATTGCTGAATAGTTTTCCATCCACTTTAAATATTTCAGACCCAACGATGACCTCAGCTTCTCTCTAGAGATCTTCTCAACGCTCCCCTTGCATGATAGAGACACTTCCTTTCCTGGTACAATTCACTTTAGAAGAAAGGTTGAAGCTAAAACTATGTTTTCTGGGGGGAAAGAGGAAAACCTCACACTAGATTCTAATCATTTTCCAGTTTTTAATGTGTTGTTTAGACTTTGAAGAGGGTTTGGGGAGTCATTCCCTTTTTCCCACATAGTGTCTTCTCTCCCTTTGCCAGGGTTCGTGTGAGCCAGGACGGGCAGTTTCTGCACTACATCTTTCCTTACCAGTTCATGGACTCTCCTGAATGGGAATCACTGCCGCCCTCTGAGGAGGGCGTGTTCCAGGTAATAGGGAACCCATGGCAGTACCACCCCATCATCCCACTGTAACCCAGCAATTACCCCCCCCCCCCCGCCTCCCACACACACACCTCTTCCCTCTGACATCTGTCCTTGGAAAGACGGCCAATGTGATGTGAGGGGTGGAGCACTTTCCTCCTGTGGGAAGAGTACCTGGGCTCCTGGAAAAGATTTGGGGGGGGGGGGTAGAGGGGGAGAGAGATACTGACCCCCCACAGGTGGGCCATGTCACTCTTGTGCCTAAATCCTTCCAGAAGGCTCCAGTGGCCACACTATCAGAACCCACACGTCTCAGAGAGTAACGTAAGACCTTTCATGGGATCCAGCCATATCCCAGCTCCTCCCCGTCACTCAGCCATCCTGAACTAAACACAACCAGTTTAGCCATGGACATGCGTTGGCCCCTACTTTCCCTTCTTCTTTTTAAAAAAATATATTTTCTTGATTTTTTTACAGTGAGGAAGAGAGAGGGATAGAGAGTTAGAAATATTGATGAGAGAGAAATATTGATCAGCTGCCTCCTGCATACCCCCTGCTGGGGATGTGCCTGCAACTAAGATACATGCCCTTGACGGGAATCGAACCTGAGGCCTTTCAGTCTGCAGGCCGACGCTCTATCCACTGAGCCAAACCTGTTTCGGCGGCCCCTACTGCCCCTTCTACCGGAAACGCGTGTCCCCAAGCAGGTGAGGCTGTGGCATCTCACTTCCTATGAAGCCGGCCCAGTGAGACCCCACCAGCTTCCATCCCACAGCCTGCTGTTCCCGTCCGTGTGCCTGCTGTTCCTCCTCCGGAGGCTGCTGTGCACATACCGCTCTCTGTGCTAAGGGGCTGCTCTCCTTTCTGTGTTCTGCACAGCACACTCTTTGAGGTAGAAATCTGGGCTCCTCCTTCTCTCTGTCTCCAGGTTCTGAAGGGCAGCACCATGAGCACAGTAGGTGTTCAATACACGTTGGCTGCACTGGCTTGCAGTGGGCAGCAGGTGTTTTACCAATGGCACTGCACGGGGCATTTACATACACACTCCCAGGTGGGGACCTGACCACTTGCCCTCTCCTCTCTTTCTGCCAGTCCTCAGGTTTCAATGACCTTTGTAGTTCTCATTAATGAATGGCTAACATGTGGCAGGTACTACATATTATATCGCCTTATTGATTCTCACAACCCTCTGGGCTAGATATTATTACCCCTAGTTTACAGATGAGGAAACTGAGGCTCAAAACATCAAGTAATTAAACAAAGGTAATCTAGAAAGTAGCAAAGACAAGCTGCCTGGCTCTACTATTTCTTTCTCTCTCTCTTTTTTTTAAAATGGGAGGGTCACCAGGAGAGTCAAGTTTGCTCGCTCTCTCTCTCTCTCTCTCTCTCTCTCTCTCTCTCTCTCCCATTACAGGGACTCCCCTGACCAGACAATTTGCCAGGACTAGGTTCCATGTGTCTCCTACCACTTCCAGCAGGGAGTCTCTTAGGCTGGCATCTGAACCAACCCCATAATAAATACATGCCAGTCAGTGCCACCTGGCTGGGCCTGCTTCCGTCCCACCCTGACTCTTGGCTCTGAGGACAGAGCCTAAGAGGCAAACCTGGTACCACTGCCAGGACCACCAGCCTTAGACCTGCTCTGGTCAGTTCCTTCCCTTACACACACACACACACACACACACACACACACAAACTCCAACCAGCCCAGCCTTCTCCCTTGAGAACCGCCCCCCGCCCCCACCCCCCGCCATGGCCATAGCATCTCTAGGAGGCTGAGTGAGGTCCTGAGCCAGCAGGACTAGGCTCTGTTTCTGACAGTGACACTGAGGAACAGGTGGTGGATAGCTGAGTGGCCTCCCCTAAGTTATGTTTGAAAGGAAGGGCTGTAACCCCAGATGACCTTGCAGTCTGGAATGTAGGTACCGTCATAGTCTTCCCATTTATATTTTTAGCGTGCACCTCATTGGGAGAAATAAGATGCACACATTTGCTGTGTAAAGTCCCATTTCCTCTTTTCAAATGTCAAGTGTCCCGAGTTACAGTTTATTTTGTCCTTTTGCAGTTACATAGGCTTTGTTGATTAAGGCAATCCACAGTGACTAGATGAATCATTATTCTTATCGTGCTTGCCACAAGTGAATCAACATTTCATCACATCTCTTGGTTTTACTGGACCCAGGGCCTCTTTGAATATGTTATCTCATTTAATTAATTCAACCAAACTCTGAGGTGAGAATTAAATAAACAGTTTGTCCAACTTACAGACATAATTAATAAGCAGGTTTCATGAAAGCTTTGGGGGAGGATTTTATAGAGGACACGAGAAAGTGGTATACAGGATGGGTAGCCTTCACCTGCTTCATTCACTCACTTCAGTGATATGTATCCTCATCATAGACCAGGCATTGTGAAAGGTGCTTAGAATTTATCAGTGAACACAACAGATGAAGGTCCCTGCCTTCATACAGTATATATTTTAGTAAGGGAGAGAAAAATGAGCCATGGGCATAATGAACAAGTAAATCATGTAATATGTTAACTCATAACTGCTCTTAAAAATATATAGTGTAAGAAAAGCAGAGTTGCAATTTTAAGTAGGGTCATGGAAATCTTTGTTGAGCAGGTGACATCTGAGCAAAGGCCTAAAGAAGTGTGAGCTCTGTTTATATCTGGGAGGAGAGCATATCAGAGAGAGGGAAGAGGCCAGTGGCAGGAGGGGCTGGCATGTTGGAGTTACCGAAAGGAGGTCAGTGCTGCTGGGACAAAGCGAGGGAGGAGAGAAGATGGCAGGAGACGAAGTCAGAGGAGACACATCATGTAGTCCAGAGGCAAACAGATTTTTTTTTTAATAGAGCCAAACAGATTTCCTACCCTTGGAAGTAGTGTGTGAGAGAAAGAGGATTAAGGAAAACTCGAAGGCTTTTGGCCTGAGCATCTAGAAGGAGGAAGCTGCAATCACCTGAGCTAAGGGAAGCTGTAGTTAGAGTTGGTTTGTGGGGACGAGAGGAAGTTCAACTTGGGATATATTAGACTTGCATCACCTGTGCACGTTTACACAGAGATGCTGCACAGGCAGTTGTCTATTTGAGTCTAGAATTAAGGAGTGAGGCTGGAGGTGAGACATAAATTTGGGAGTTGTTGGCATACAGATGATATTTAAAACTTGGGCTGGATGAGATCACCAAGTGAGTGAGTTTAGACAGAGAAAGGGTTCAAGAACCAAGATCTGGGGCATTCTAGTGTTTAGACGTTGGATAGAAAAAGAGGAAGCAGCAAAAGAAGCTGAAAAGAGTCATCGGGAGACTGTACCGGGTGAGTGTGGCATCCTGGGAACCAAGTGAAGACAGTGTGTCGGAGAGGTGGGGGCAGGCAGTAGGGCTGAGCACCATAGAGACTGACCACTGCTACTTAGAGGTCATTGGTGACCTTACAGGGAACAGTGTTTGTGGACTTTGAGGAGCAACCCCTTCCTGGTTCAACAGAGAGTAAGAGGAGGAGAGTTGGGTTCAGCAAGTATAGACAATTTTTTTTAATATATATATTTTATTGATTTTACATAGAGAGGAATTGAGAGGGATAGAGAGTTAGAACCGTCTATGAGAGAGAAACATCGACCAGCTGCTTCATGCACACCCCCCACTGGGGATGTGCCCGCAACCACGGTACATGCCCTTGACCAGAATCGAACCCGGGACCTTTCAGTCTGCAGGCCAACGACGCTCTATCCACTGAGCCAAACCGGTTTCAGCAATTTTTTTTTTTTAATGAAGTTTTGCTGAAAAGGAAAACAAATTAGTGGAGTGAGAGCTCACCAAAGAAGTGAGGTGAGGAAAAAGAATTATCATTTTTTAAATTTTGATTTATGTTAAGATGGAAGGAGTAACAGCATGTTCAAAGAATGCCTACAGTTTTTGCATTAGGCTCTAAAGCACCATGTTTGCATCCGGATTAGCTCCTACCAACTTCCACTTCATCATCAGCGCTCTGATTTCTTGTCTGGGAATTGTCAGTAAGCATATCTAAAGTACAGACCAGGGCAGAGAGGGACCGCTACTTGCTGGATGGATTATGAGTACTTACTGCTTTCTGAATTCTTTCTCACGAAGCAGCACGCTCAGAGAGATTAAGTCATTTGTCTGATGTCACAGAGCTAGTAAAGGGGTAAAGCTGAAACTGTAAGCCAGCTTCTGGCCATGGTGATTGTTTTAAGGCCCTAACTTCAGTGCTGATGACTAGGAGAGAATGAGTAGAGAACATGGAAGCGAGTACTGTATGGAGGAAAGGGGAGGAGACGGGGATAACGGGAGCTCTGGGAGGCAAGGCAGGAACTATGAGGATTGTAAAAATCTCTAAGAAAGAATGTAGAGTCAGCCCTACCTTTAATTAGATAATCCACATTATCTAAGCAGTAAGTACTCACAATCCATCCAGCAAGTAGCAGTCCCTCTCTGCCCTGGTCTGTACTTTAGATGTGCTCACTGACAATTCCCAGACAAGAAATCAGAGCGCTGATGATGAACTGGGAGTTAGTAGGAGCTAATCCGGATGCAAACATGGTGCTTAGAGCCTAACGTAAAGACTGTAGGCATTCTTTGAACATGCTGTTACTCCTTCCATCTTAACATAAATCAAAATTTAAAAAATGAAAATTCTTTTTCCTCACCTCACTTCTTTGGTGAGCTCTTAGAACTTAACACAATGCCTGGCAATTGATATTAGCTGCTTATCATCATTTATTTCCTTTGTCTCTGTGCACAAATTTTCATCATGAACTCTGCCAACCTTCTTGCTATTCAATTATTTTGGTCACTTAGGACTATTAAAAATTGTGTGATTATATACTCTTATTCTTTACTATCCTAACCATGTTTCCATTTTAACCCTAGTTTTACCACTCATCATTATTTCAACAAGAACTTACCACGGTACTTACTGCGTGCCGGGCACACAAGATTTACCCTGCAAGTGTGATTTAGCTTTGATTCCTGGACACAAATGACTACTTAGAAATTCCTAGTCAACTAAATCAATGGAGAGTAGGGTGCCCTTCCACTGTGCTCTGAAGATTTCCTCATCTGTGTGCCTTTTTTCTGACTGTGGTCATCAGATCTGTCTGGTTACTTGTAGTGGCCAAGTCCAGAGCAATTTCTTGGACCTGAATCCCGGGCTAATGTTCTGTCCACTTGCTGCAGATTGGCATTCCTAATACCCAGGGAAGCTCTCTCTAATTAAAATGCTTTCCAACTCCTCTTCCTTACTCCAACATATTACCCTTCCTTTTTCTTAAACCAAGCTATCATCACCATGCTGACCTCTCTTCAGAGCACTAGGAGGCCCCTTCTCTCTCTTGAAGTCACAACAGACTCGGACCCTTCTGTAGCCATTAGTGGTATCAGCCATGAGGCCACAGACGATGAGATATGAACACTGAGGCTCCCAGAGGTGAGGGCCCAGTAAGTGAATGGCTGATCCCAGAGATCCTGAAAAGGATATGCAGCCGCCTCCCCCTACCCCCATCCCCAAACCAGAGCACACAATTAAAAGCCATTTGCTGAGCCTCCTCCAGGCAAGGATATGGGGGGAGGGGTGATCCCACAGGTTCCTCAATAAAAGTGCAACCGTTTGCCCAGTAACTGTATGTTTCTCTCTGCTAACCATGGACACATTTTCTAATTTAAACCTCCACTCTCTGCTCCTTATCCACCTCAGGTGACTCTGACTGCAGAGACCCCATGCAGCTACATTTCCTGGCCCCGGAAAAGCCTTCACCTTCTTCTGGCCAAAGAGCGATACATCTCCCGCCTCTTCTCAGTCCTGCTGGGCTACGACATCTCCGAAAAGATCTACGCTCTCAACGAGAAGCTCTTCGCTAAGTTTGGGTTGTGCTTCGACATCCGTCTCCCCAGCCTCTATCACGTCCTGGGTTCTGCTGCTTCCGATGCTGGGCCAGAGTCTGAGAAGGAGGATGAGGAAGTCCACGAGCCAGCCGCAGCCCCTCCTCAGGCCGCGCCCACACCTGACCAGCACATGCCCTCTTGCTCTCCCCCGCCAGCCACCCACCCTCCAGCACGGCCTTCCCGGGCCAGGGTGTCCCGGCCCGACAGCGACGGCCTGGGTGAGGACTCCACCAGCTTGGTGCTGGAGGATTTTGAGGAGGTGTCAGGATCAGAGTCGTTCATGGACTATAGGAGTGATGGGGAGTACATGAGGTGAGGGGAGAGCTAACCTGGGCACAGCCGCCGGCTCAGGATCCTGTGTAAGTACTCAGATGGCAGTTGCCACATCTCCCTGCCAACGGGTGGTCTTCACCCAGCTTGTGGAGGCCTAGCTTTTCCTCAAGCCTGTGCTCTCAGAGGACTCCCAGGAAGTGGTGTTAACGCAACCTTTCAGACAGCAACTCACTCCGGGGCACATGCAAGGCCTGAGGGGAACTTCTAACTCTTTCTTTATTCAGTGTGATTGCTATTTTTGGAAAGTGGGCTGGCTGGTTTGGCATTTTGAGCAAGCAGACAGGTTGCTAAATTTTCTGCAAGACTATGCTAATCAATAACAGGGATTTTATTTGTGGCATGTATTGTGTGTGTGTGTGTGTGTGTGTGTGTGTGTGTGTGTGTGTGGCATGCGCTTTAAAGGAGAGAAAAAACTGACATGGTTCTAATTCCCATTGGCTCTTCCTGGCATAGAGTCTGCTCTGGGAAGCAGTTGTTGTTTAGCTTGGATTGTGCATTTTCTGTTCAAATCATCCATTTCAATGAGGCTTGGGATCCAGGCTAATGACCTGGGAGGAAAATGTGCCTGCCTTGCTTGCCTCTCCCCCGGTGGGAAGTGTACCGGCTGCTGAGCCAGGGAACTGGATGCTGCTCTGACTGAGTGTGGCTGCCATCGGATATATAAAGAAGCCTGGTTTTCCCTGCCAACCACACACCTGTGTCTGTGTGTGTGTGTGTGGGGGGGGGGGGCACAAGTCTGGGAGCACGGATGGTACACGCAGGGTTTCCTTCACAGAGCAGAGAAGTCTGCCAGAAAGGCTGTGTCGAGCAGTTCTGGGAAACTGCTCTCATGTTCCCTTTGCTGCTCTCACAACGCCGTGACATTTTCCTCTGGGCCCACACACAGCCGCAGTGGAGAGCTGGCTTTTCCTGAGGAAAACACCACAGCTTTCTACTTGGGAGGCCTTTCCACGTAAAGAGGGCAGGCCCCAGGAGACCCCTCGCTCTCGGGGAAACACTGACGAAATTCCAGAGGAACTAGCCCAGGGAGGAAGGTTTCCGGGGAGGTGAGGTGGGTGAGTGAATGTTTGTGTATTCTGAAGAACAAGTTATAAGAGGTTAAGCGGTTGGTTGTATAGGTTTGGGATGTATCATCTCCTGTGGTGCCCTGGTCCTTGAGCCCCGTGGAGCTAACTCTGGGGTGCTCCCAAGGACCTATCTAGTGCCCAAGATCACTTATTGACCCGCTCCATCGGCTTTGTCCACTCTCATTGCCCCTTTCCCCTTGTGCGGAAAGTCACTTCCCTTCTCATCCACATAATCCTTAATCCTCTCCAGGCATAAGGGTTATGTCCTGTGGATCCCTCTCTTTCTCTAACACCCCTGCCCCCTGAAACATGCTCTGAACTCCCGGCAACTCTCTGTTCTCATGCTCTCCCAGGTTTCCTTCCCTCTTCCTGGTTCTGTCTGTCCTGATGTCTTCCCTCCTTCCAACTTCTGCTCAGTCCTGGTTGCCTCTGTTTGCTGCTCTTATGAAGTGAAACTCCCTTTCCTGCTTCTCAGTTTCCCCTCTTCATATTTGTCCCTTATATCCTCTCCATTTTGCCGAAACTGGTTTGGCTCAGTGGTAGAGCGTGGTCTGCGGACTGAAAGATCCCAGGTTCGATTCCGGTCAAGGGCATGTACATTGCTTGTCAGCACATCCCCGGTAGGGGGTGTGCAAGAGGCAGCTGGTCAATGTTTCTCTCTCATCGACGTTTCTAGTTCTCTAACTCTCTCTGTAAAATATCAATTAAAAAAAATATATATATACATCCTCTCCATTTTATTGTTTATGTATTTATCTTTCTATGACCTTCTTTTCTTTTCCCTCCATGTTCCTGCCTTGCTCTATCTGTTCTTCCTCCTAAACTATCCTGTAACTCCAATTTCGGTGTTTTTATGTTTGTTTGTTTTTTGTTAATCCTCATCTGAGGATATTTTTTCATTGATTTTTAGAGAGGATGGGAGAGTGAGAGAGAAACAGAGCGAGAGAAGCATCGATGTGAGAGAGACACATCGATCGGTTGCCTCTCGCATATGCCCTGTTGCTCTCCCCCTCCAGCTGCCACCCAACCTCCAGCATGGCCTTCCTGAGCCAGGGTGTCCCAGCCTGACAGCGACAGCCTGGGTGAGGACTCCACCAGTCTGGTGCAGGAGGATTTTGAGAAGGTGGGGATCAAGTCTGCAACTGAGATACATGCCCTTAACCAGAATCAAATCCGGAACCCTTCAGTTTTTTATCCTGCCTCTTTCAAGATCAGCACTTCTCCCTCTGCCTCGGAAGAAAACCACTTAGCATTAGCCAGTGTGGTGTAATGGTTGGGCATCATCCCATGCACCCAAAGGCTGCTAGCTCAATTCCCAATCAGGTCATAAGCCTGGGATCCCAGGCAGGGGAAATGCAGGAGCAACCAACAGGTGTTTGTTCTCACATCAATGTCTCTCTCCCTCTGAAAAAAAAAAGTAAAAAAGGTAAAAAGAAGACAGAGGTCTTATAAGACTCCCCATTTTTCTTGGCAGCATTTTTAAACGCTCATCCACTAGTGTTAGGAAGTAGAGTTCTATAACTTCTTCATAGGAGTCAACAGAAGTTGATCTCTTGGTCTCTTCACTTATAAACTGAGAGGATCAAACTATATAACTTCAAACCTGACTCTCCCTAATATTCTTTTTAGAATGCAATTATTCAAAGATACAAGTGCCCCTATATGGCAGGCATTGGGTACTGCCGGGGCTCCTCACAACGGGGCACCACCTTGCCGGGGCGACCCACAGGCCCTGAACGACGAATGAACAGATTTCTCCAACACAATTTCACTGTGGGGGAGAGGGCTAAGGGCCTGCCCAGCTAAAGAAGCCAGAGGCCAGGCAGCCCCAATTGTTTGCCTCGTTAGGCTTTTATTGGAATTTTTATCTTTAGATACAACCAGTAGAGTGAGTAATCTTGGGAGGACACATATGTTTGCATTGTCCTCTAGGCAAGGACATCCAGGGATTAAGCATAGGATTCCAGTAAACCCCCGGGAGTCTGCATGTGCACAGACTTGTTTGGAAAGGTCAAGGAATAGCTAGGGGTGCCACCTTCGACACTTAAGTCTCCTCTAAGCAGAATTCTGATAAGTAGGGCAGGCGGCCTTCCACACACTTCCCTTTTCTGAGAATGTCCTCCTTCCAACTTTCCAACCAAGTCTCATGTGCTCCCCAACAGGGTTCAGTTAAAACATTGGGAATTTTTAGAGGTTTAAAAAAAAAGGTAAAAGAACTCTATGAAGTTAGGCAAGCTATTGGGAGCCATAGTGCTGAAATCCTTCCTCTTTTTCTTTCCGCAGCTTCTAGAATTCCTCTCCATAGCTACTCTCAAGTTATGTCCACGGGACAGGCCCCCTTGGCTCCGGTCAACACTCCTGAACTTTAAGGATCCTAGGGCCTTGCTTTGCTCGGGCCACATTTGTGGTCATGGGGCCGTGTGCTTGCCCCTTCCTCACCCACTGGAGGGCCCACAGGCAAGGTCGGAGCACACAGAGGTGCCAGCCCTGCAGCTACGCCAAGGCCCTGAGTGCCCATTTCACCTTCACCAGCTTTCCTGCCAGCAGAAGGCATCTTCGAGGGCAGAAGGCACAGGGTCCATCCTTCACTTGACTGCAGAATCTTGACTGAGTCACAAAGCCTCTCTGTGACTCATCTGTAAAGTGAGGACTACGAACCCACTTCACAGGGCTGTTGTGAGGATTCCGAGTTGACTTACACAAAGCACCTGGGACAAGGCGTGGCACCTACCGAGCACTCAATAAATCACTCAGTTCCTTTTCCTGTGTTGTTTCTTTAACTTTCTGAAAAGATCAGTGAAAAGTCAGCTATCCAAGAAGCCCTCACTGTGGTTTGTTGTTTGTTTTTAATTAAAATTCAATGTGCAGAAGTAAAAATTTTAAAATCTAGTTTTCTCTTAAGATTTTAAATTCAATATACAAATCTATTGTTCTATTGATGACCCGAGTATTAAACCATAGTTTTTTAAGAGGGATTTTTACAAATTCAATTGTTTCCTTAAACATTTTAAAGTGGGTTTATAGATTTAATATATTCTGTTTAATTTTCCCCCTACGTACTTCAAGCTAGACTCCAGTTAGCTATGTACATTCATCCCTAAAACAGTGACTTAAAATAGTCACAATAATTTATTTTGCTCCTGAGTGTGAGGCTTGAATGGGCTCCGGTGCACTGCTCCCACTCAAGGTTTCTCACGCTGTGGCATTCAGACAGTGGTGAGGGTTAGAACCACCTCAAAGGCTTCTCCATCACATGTTTGGGGCCCAGTCTGGGAAGATTCAAACAGCTGGAACAGCTGGAGATCCTTGGGCATCTCTGGCTCTGTTGATAGTTTGCTCACTTTTGTTGCTTTATGAGTACTATGTTGTATGAATATACCACAATTTATCCATTCTACCATTGATGATCTTTGGGTAGATTCTAGTTTGGGACATTTAGTTTATAATAGCAGTAGTGGTGTTTTAAACATGCTTGCACATATCTTTTAGTACGCATATGCATATATTTCTTAGGTATGTATCTAGGACTGAAATTACTAAGGCACATATGTTCAACTGTAGTAAATATTATCAGTGGTTATATTCTTAAGTGGTTATTCTAGTTAATATTCCCACAAGCTACTGTTCTAGTTATTTCTCATCCTTCCCGATAGTTGGCATTTTCATTTAAACATTTTTTAGCCATGTGGGTGTATGTAGCAGCATATCACGTGGTTTTAATTTTCATTTCCCTGAAGAATGATGAGGTTGAGTACCTCTTTGGGTTTTTATTACCCATATACATATTCTCTATTGTGAGGTGTCTGGTCTAGTTCTTGTCCATTTCTCTATCTGTGTGTATGCTTCAAGTTAAGTCCTAACTGGTTTGGCACAGTGCAGGCCAAAGGATCCTAAGTTCGATTCCGGTCAAAATGCATGTAGGAGGCAACCAATTGAACCAATCGATGTGTTTCTCTCACATAGATATTTTTCTCTGTCTTTTTTCTTCCACTCTCTCTAAAAATCAATGGAAAAATATCCTTGAGTGAGGATTAAAAATAATATATATATATTTATATATATTCTTATATATAAATATTTATATATATATATTCAAGTTAAGAGTTCTTTGTTGTTTATATATTCAAATATATTCACCCATTTTATGACTCTTCTTTTTTTTCTCTAAATGGTATATTTTGATGAATATGAATGATTAATTTTAATGTAGTAATTTAGCATTCTGTTTTCTGTATCCCAGTATATTCTGTGTCATGATTAATAAATATTTTCCTCCCCTGAAGATTCTGTTACTTTTTAGATGTTTTGTCGTTTTACATTTCACAGATCTACAATTAACCTGAGTTGGATATCTGTGTATCTATGACATATGGATCAAAGTTGTTATTTTCCAGAGGATATCCAATAGACTGAGCACTATTACTGAGCTGATTATACTCTCCCCACTAGTGATCAGTGCCCCTTTGCCATATACCTAAAGTTCTATTTCTGAATCTTCTATTCTGTTCCATTAGTCTATTTTCTATCCGTTGACAATACCACCTCTTGTAATCATTGAAGATTTACAATAAGCTTTGATATCTGGTGATCCTCAAGTTTCGTTTTTCAAGTCTTCATTATTCTTAGTCTTTCCCTTTGTATTTTCATCAGCTTGCTAAACTCCACACAATTATAAACTCTGTTGGAATTTTCATTAGAATAATATGCACACTGTGAATCAGGTTGGTAAATAATTGATGTATTTATAATATTGATTTTTAAGCACTTCATTTATTTTGATCTTCTTTGTTTTTCTCTCTTTCAATCGTGTTTTGTAGATTTCCATGTAGAGATCCTAGCATAGCTTTTGTTAGATTTATTTCTAGGTACCTGATTACTTTGATGCTATTATAAGTGTTACATTTAATTTTTTTTACATTCTAATTTTTTTATTGCTTGTATGCAAAAATAGAATTGATTTTTGTATCTTTAGCTTCCATCTGGTGATCTTGATAAAATCATTTATCAATTCTAATCATTAATCCATAGTCTTCAGGATTTTCCATCGATTCAGTTGTCATCTGTATATAATGATAGTTTTATTTCTTCATTCCTGACCTATGCATACCTTAATTCTCCTCCTTATTTCTTATTTTTATTTTTTTGGTTCCTTGTTATACTGGATAGGACCTCCAGTACAGGGATGACTAGAAGGAAGGGTGAAGATATTCTTCTCTCATACTTGACGTTAAGGAAATATTTCACTATTAAGTATGATGTGTGTTGTTAGATTTTTATGATACCTCTGTCAGGTTAAAGAGATTCTATTCATAATTTGCTAAAAGCATTTTTAAGATCATGAATGAATATTAAATTTTATCACAACTTTCTGCATTTATAGAGATTATTTTTTCTCATTTATTCTATTAATGAATTATATTACTAGATATTCAAGCGTTAAAAAAAAACTTGCATCCCTGGAACAAACCCAATTTTATTTATGATGTATTTTCCTCTTTATGTGTTTCTGAACCTCATTTGCAAATATTTTGTTTAGGATTTTTGCATCTATGTAGCTTGTAATATTGTCAGTCTTTAATATCAAGGTTATGCTGACTTTATAAAAGGAGCTGGGAAGTATTCTTTCCTTTTTTCCTATTCTCTGGAAGAGATCTTTAAACCAAAACAGTTTTATAACTCTTGGTTCTCATCCTGCCACCTTATCATCTACTCTCTCTGTCTGTTTCTTCACTCAGTTGCCCAAAACCTTGGAGTCTTTCCATCAGTCTAGTTACTTTTTTTTTTTTTAATTGTTTTTTCACAGAGAGGAAGAGAGAAGTATAGAGAGTTAGAAATGTCGATGAGAGAGAATCATCAACCAGCTGCCTCCTGCACACCCCCCACTGGGGATGTGCCCTCATCCAAAGTACATGCCCTTGACCAGAATCGAACTCGGGACCTCTCAGTTCGCAGACCGACGCTCTATCCACTGAGCCAAACCAGTGTCAGCGAGTCTAGTTACTTTTGTTTTTGAAGTATATCCTGAATTCAACTCACCACCTGCAGTGCCACCACTAATTTCAAGCCACTATTATTTCAAACCTAGACCAACTTGAATAGCCTTATAACAGGTCTCCTGATTTTTTCTGCCTGCATCATTGCTCCTAACCACTCGCCTGCCTACCTGATTGCCCCTAACTGCTTCTATCTGCCTGCCTGATTGCCCCTGACCATCTCTGCCTCAGCCCTGCCACCAAGGCTTTGTCAGGAAGGACATCCAGGAGGTGGTTAAGCTGGCTGGTCTAATTAGCATATTATGCTTTTATTATAATATTATATCTAACTCGAGGCCTAGTGCATGGAAATTCATGCACTGGAGGGAGGTTCCCTCAGCCTGGTCTGCCCCCTCTCACAATCTGTGAGTCCTCAGAAGCGGCAAGTGACCCAGTGATCAGGGGAAGGTGACACCCTCATCATAACTCTGCTGCTGCCATTGCTGGCAGCACAAGCCTTGGCTAGCCCTGAGTGGCTGGGCAGCTGCCATCCAAGACTTGCCAGTGCCTCAGGCTGACCCTGGGCAACTGGGGGACTGAGGGGACACTGGGGGACTCCTAAGGCAGGAACAAAGAGCAGCTGGACCCACCTGGAGAAGGGCCCGGCTGTGCTGCACACCTGCAGCCCCAGCAGGGCTGAGGGGACTGGGCACCACCATCTTGTCGCTGTAGCTGCTGCCATCTTTGAAGGCATGACAGTCAATTATCATAGCATATTCCCTCTTTATTACATAAATGCTATAGGTAATGACAAAAGACATTTGAATGTTAAAAGGTTTTTAGATAAGTTTGTTGATTTTTAAAACCTTAAAAATTAACCGCAATAGTGCCTGGCTGGTATGGTTCAGTTGGTTGGGTGTTATCTGTCCACTGAAAGGTTGTAGGTTCAATTCCTGATCAGGACACATGCTTGGGTTTGGGTACGATCCCCAGTAGGGAGCATGCAGGAAGCAGCCGATCAATGTTTCACTCTCACAATGATGTTTCTCTTCCTTTCCCTCTCTCTAAAAATTCATTTTAACATCTTAAAAATAAATTTTAAAAATAAATAAATAAACGAAAAACTGTCACCTTTAATTTTTCTTTCAGTGAAGGGGGAAAATAAATTAAAAACAATAGTATTTTTATGTATTTCAACTATAGCATTATATATATGTACTTAAAAGCATTGTGTTTATTCAGTCTATAGAAGTTATTGAGTGATATGGATTTGTTAATATCTTACAGAAACCCCACACTAGAGGTCCACACATGTGAAGAAAAAAATCTTCGCATTATAACTTTATATTTTCAGAAATAAAGCTTGATATATAGTCAGATTATAATAGCTATTATTT